GGGAAGTAAAACTCCATGGATAGGATTTCCCAGTCACTGCCTGCCATCTAGTGCCTAGCACCGAGCTGTTTCACGGGCAGCAAGTGACATCCACCTCCATCCTCGGGGGAATTTAGCTCTTAAATTGGGGCCAGTGACACTCGAGCACGGAGCTCCTCGTGCTGATAGTGGCCCACTGTGTTCCTCAGTGTGGGCGAGGGCCAGGGAGAGGGGTTTGGAGTCAAATAACTCAAATTCTGAAGGGACCTGTCGGTGAAAACAGCCTGGAAGTGAGGGGAGGCGATGCTGTGTGTGCCTGCCTGGGTTGTGACGCGATGCCCAGCCACAAGGAGCTCACTAAATACAACACGTCTCGCTTCGCTGCACGCCGCTACCTTCAAGGTCACATTGCCGTCGTCAGCAGCTCCGATCAAAGCGGTGCACACAGGCATTGTGTGAAGAATGCCACAGACAGGCTAAAAATAGGGAGACAAATGGAAGCACGAGGTAAAGGGGTGAAGGGTGAGGCTTCTATGCTGTGCAGGAGATTGAAAACTCACAGAAAATCAGGAAACAAACAAAAGTAATCAAGAAACACTGGCTTTGTGACTTGGGATATTCTGGCGCTTGGACACACCACTGGAGTTTCCTGCCAGGTTCAATCCATGGGCAACCATTTGAACAGGAACACAGTCCCTACCAACCACTTGTAGGCCTTTGGGTTAGCACCAACAGCAGGTGCTTTGGAGTGGTTTACAGGTCCCCAGGCAATCTAAGGGGCTGATGCTCTCCCTCCCCTTCCTTCAGTAAGGATATACCTGTGTTCACCTTAGGGGATGCCTGGCAGCTTCTTGCCCCTCCGAAAGGGCTCTGATACCTACCTACCCACAAAGGCAGGAGAGAGCAGGCAAGACACCTACAACTCACCATAGTCCTGCTTTCGGGCAGAGAAAATGAATGGATATGAAATCCAGAAGGATGTGGTGCTGGAGCCTCTAGCATGCTGCTGGAAGGCACTGTCTGCTGCACTACATTCCCTAAGCAGGGATGAGATTGCATGTTGAGCTTTGAGTGCTGGTGGAGCAAAGGCAGAAAAGTGGGTCCCCATGGGTACCACATCCAGCAGTCACCCAACACCCCCCCAAAATAGGGAGCTCACTGCCCTTCCACACAGGGCACTGGTGGGATCAGACACCTCGAATGCCCATCCTCCTTCCTCTCCAAGCCCCTTATCACTTGGCTGCCCACTCCCTATTGCATCCCACTGCTTTCCTCGAGCTCATCCCAACATTTGCAGCCCATGCCATTTGGTAGTAGCACAGCTTGGGAATTCTTGTAATTGCTGTTCTGCAGAGTGGGGCATTGGGTCTGACACAACTGGGCTGCACAGGGCATTTGGAAAAGGCAGGCAGAGCAGGGCAGCAGCTTCTGAACACACAGAACCAGACTGGCTGATTAGCACAAGGCTCTCATTTCCTCCAATGCTTCCAGAAAAGCAATAGGCGACATTAACAAAAGGATTACTCGGAATTCAAAAGCAAATGGGATTTGTGACCCATTATATTAACCGGGGACTGGGGAAAGCTCTACAGAGAGAGAACACTGCCGGCAGGTCACCAAACCAATTATTAAGAGCTCACAGATCACGAAACTAGAGATATACACACATCAAGATAAATTTCTATTTGCCTGCTGAAGCAGGATGCTGGCTGAGCCACCCTCCCAACCCAGTGTGGTTTTTCTATGTGCCCATTAAACCTGGATTATATCTGGTTATTTCCCCCAATAATTCACTTGCCCCACAGGTTTAATGCTGTGGAATAACATTTGGGATGGTAAAACCTGAAAGGAAAAATGTAATGGGCATAATTAGTTTGATAGATGGGAGAGTGCAGAAAGCAGGCAGGCAGCACGTGGTGGGAGCAGGACAGCAGAAGGACTCACCCCTGACATCGCTCACCGTCCTCCCAGTAGCAGTGCTGGCCCGTGCCTCCTGTCCCAGTGTCCTCAGCTTCCCTCTGCCCAGATGCTTGAGAGGCAGAGCAGCCCCTCAGAAGATAATCTGCCTTCAATATCAGCTCTCACCTTAAGCTCTGGCAGAGATCAGCTTAAACTGCAAACTGCTAAGTGAAAAATCTCTTTCTAAACTTTTGCCTCAGCCAATTATGACATTGGAAGTTCATGATGCACAGGTAACAGGCCAGGTCCTGCCAGCACACTGTCCTGCTTCTGGGGTGGCCTGTGATAGTAAGTCCTAAAGCCTTGTGCACCCTGCTTTGTTGCCTTGCTTTGGTTTTGAAGAAGCTTCATTTTTATGTTGCTGAACAACCCTTCACATTTTTACCGAAAAATGCCCCTGGGTCTCCAAGCATTGCCTATGAAGTCCTGGCAAAGGATTCTATACGCCCCAAGACCTGTCAGAGGAAAGTAGCCTTGACAGCAAAGCTGTAGCTGGAACTATCTGAAGGAGGTTCCTGCTGTCAGCATTTCATACTCACCTTACAAATTCTAGGCTTTCCTTTTTGAGGGCTTGGTGTTAAGGATTGGGTATTATCAACAAAGTTTCTGGGGTAGTTTTACCCTCAGTACAAGTCTCCCAGCAGCAGCTCTTCTTTTATATCCATTCTTACCTTTGTAGAGATTCACTTAAGCATTGCCTTCTGCCTGCCCCACTCTGCATCCTTCCAACATGCTGGTTATGCCAACCCACAGGGGTGATTTCAGAAGAAAAGGGAGGAAAAAGGGTGTCCTGAAAACAGAAGGATGGGACACAATCCACTCATGCCACTGGTGACCTCAACCAGATTTTCCCCACAGTTTTCTGCTGGGTCTCTGGGCTGCCACGAGCAGAGCACCCCATGCTGCATGCCCTGCAGAGCACTGCAGGAAAGGGCAGTGCTTGCAGAAATCCCAGGCACTACTAGAAAAATTCCCTCCAAAGACACAGATCCCTTCCAACACAAGAACATGAGCTTGAACAGAACAAAGGTCGCCCCAGCCTGACCACATCCCAGCTTCCTCCTGCCATGCGCACAGTCAGGGGAAGGCAACACTCAGCTGCTGGCCCGGGAGCACTGATCTTACTCTGGACTTCTTGGATGAGCCCCACATTGCTGCTCTCAGCAAGGAGTCACAAGTCCTTTCCAAAACTCCTCTCTCTGGTGCACACTTCACAGGAGGGCTCTTCAGTTGATCTGACTATGCCTTCTACTGAAGAACCACAGCAAACTCAGTGCCTTTCCCAGGCACTTGCTGCAGCTTCAGGTTCTGGAAGAGAGATCCCACGTGAAGAGGCCTTTGCCAAGGAGAGAAAAACCCTCCAGGCTTTGGGTGCAAACAAGCTCCAGCCTATCTCTATGCCCAGGCAAACACTCATACAGTTCTCCATTGCTTTCTCAAGGCGGGTTTTTTGGTTCATGCTCAACACAAGTGAAATCCTCCCCCATCTCTTTGTGCTGGACTGCAGGAGGCACACCTGAATGCAGCAGCTCTCACCCAGCTGCTCTCACCTACCTGACTCGACAGGTTTCTTCTGCTCTCTCAGAAAAGGTTTTGTGCTACCCTTTCAGTGGCTATCAGCAAAATACATCCCACCAGCCTGCCTGCTCAGGCTTCTACAACTACGAGTATGGGTATAGGTTTGCACTGTGTGTAACAGCCTGCAGCCACCAAGCTCCTAAAGGAAAAGAACAGCCTACTGCTGTGACCTACTGCAGGACTCTGGGAGTAGAGGAAATGAGAAGACTCAAACCATCCTCTAGGAAACCTGCATGATATCCTCCTGCCTTCCCTTTCACCAAGGCCAGAGAAGGAAACAGGCCACACACAAGAAATATGTGGGGAAAGGGCCCAACTTGCAGGATCTGGGATTGTTTGCAGCAACTAGCTGGGTGCTTCCAGGATCCAAGTTTTGTTGGTAATTTATGGGAAACCTGCAGCTCTCTAACTGTCCAGCATCAGAAAATGGAAGGTTGCTGTGCTCCCTCCCCATCCTGATGGCTTGTGGAGTGATTAAGGATAGCTTTAATTTGAGGCCTGCGGCTCAACAGCTCCCAAAGGATTGACAAAATACATATAGCAATCTCCAGTTCCACCTCTGGAGACCAAAGTCTCTCCAGATGATTAACAACAGCTATTTCCTCCCTCTTTCCCTGCCACTGGAGGAGGCTGATTCTCTGCAAGGTCCAGCCAGCACTCTGACTACCAAACAGCAACATTTACAACCATAAAAAAACCTCCAGGAACAGAACCGGCTCCACATGAGTGAGGCAACACCACAGAAAACCCAGGATAGATCTTCTAATAAAGAAATCAGGGTAATAGGGTCAGGTTTGCCAAAGCAGATCCAGCTGGGCTGGGTTACCAATGCTGGCCTAATGCAGTGGGAATGGGAGCTGAGAACTCCCTAGAACCACCTTTGAGGCTGCTCCCCCAAGGCAGCAAAGGCAGCAGTGCTAAAACAGCCTTCCCCTTCCAGGAAAACAGCCTCCCAGCCCAGACAGGGAGCTGCTGCTGCTGTTACCCTCGTTCAGTGTCTGTTGCTGAGGCTCAAGGGGAGGCAGTATGGGTAGGAAAGCAGCACTCGTGAGCTGCTGCCTGTTTCTCACAGATCCATGTCCTCCACGGCCACTGTGTATCAAGTTGAGGCCAGAGACAGCTCCAGTGCAGATTAAATGCTCATAAACTGTGAACATCCCGCTTTCATTCTCCCCAGAAACCCACCTTGCCCTGGCTTGTGTCCAGGAGGGTCTGTTCCCATCTGGACACAGAGACAACCCTCCATTTCTGCTCTTACCAGACAGAAATGTCTCTCGTACTAGAGACAAGCATTAGCCACTGCAAGGAGAAACCATTTGAGCTTGAGCCTGTGACAGGAGTCTGGGGAGGAAAGCGAGCCTCACGGGTACCACAACCCCAGGGAATCACGCTCTTAGGAGAGGGAAAGATCACAACAGGCATTTCCAGAAGAGGTGGAGGAGGAGAATTCAACAAGAGCAAAGAACTCCCTCAGGAAAGCTTCGCTTCCAAGTATAAGTTTTAATATTTATTCAGTACAGGGACAGTGAGGAGAACTGAGAAATAAGGCAAAGGCAAATTATCCTCCAGAGCCCAAGTTAACATCTCATACACACAGACCATGCAAAGCAGCAGCCGTGCTCCTCCCTGGAGCCATGTCCCATATCTTCCCCATCTGCTGGAGCACAACCCTTCGCTTACAAGTCCAGGAGGAATCGATTGACTTTTTTCAGGTATTCCGGCTTCAGGTAATCTCCCAGCTCGTTCTTTGTGACCCACAGGTAATCTGCCTTCAGCTCTGTCTGGGTAAAATCACTGCTCTGCAGGAAGGCTTTGAAGAAGAAGACTTTGGCTCCCACATTATCCTCAGTCCTGATGGCCCTGGGGAACTTATACTTGTAAATCCCATATGGTGCATTCCCCAGGATTTTGGCTTGAATGTGATCTCCTGCAACACCCCAGCAATGCAAGAGAAAAAGAAAAAAAAAAGACATAAGAACACACAGTAACAGTAGCTGCTCTTCTGTATAAAAAAAAAGGAAGCATAAGCCAATCCTTGCCTCTGTTTCAGACTTCTCTCTGTGGCAGAAATCCTGACAACTGTGAGCCTTTTCTCATGAAGAAACTGCTCATTTGAAGATCAGCAAGTCCTCTCAGAGTGGGAGAGGGAGGGAGGGAGAGGGTACCAAGCTTTGCCAACCCACAGTGAAAAGTAAGGACACGTGGGTTTGCCATCACCACCCATCTGCTGCAAAAGCTACTACAGGGCACCCAGAGGGAAAGAGAAGCCATATACCTGGAGCAAGCCCAGGCATTCAGAGGGTGTCTGGTGATGCTCCAGAATCAGATCACAGACCTGGCACTGCTTGCTGCTGGTGGCAGCCAGAGATCTCAACTCACAGCTCTCCGCCAGCCCTCCACATGCTGCAGTACAGAGCCGATTTCCCCAGATCATGGCTCTTCCCAGGAAAGTCCACCCCACTGAGCTCCATCCCTCTGCCATGAAATGCCTTTCCCCAGCAGGTGGAAGGTGATTTCACTACAGCAGATAACAAATATCCCTCAGAAAGGGCGCAGGAAGAAAACCACTGGGACAAAGAAGAGGAAGAATCAAGCACAGGACAGACTACACACCCAAAAACGTAGCCATGGCTCGCTCAGCTGTGCTTCGCAGAGTCTCTCCAGGCTGCCATTCCACTTGAGGCAGGAGCCACAGCTCCTGGTTACCAATTTTCTGTTTCACCAGAAGCATCAGGTTACTGTCCAGCTTCCTGTTCAACGATGTTCGAATGTTCTTCTTATCAGCATCTGCCAAAAAACAACACATGCTGGAAACAATCTCTCAGCAGGACCACTCTGATCCCATTGATTCACCAACCCTTGGCATCTCACACTCTTCCAGCAATAATACACGAGCATGGATACATGGAACAACACAAAAATCTAGACAGGAGTGCTCTCAGTTGCTCTGGAAATCAATGAAGGATTCAGCTGGAACCCACTCCTGTTTCAGTTCCAGAAGGAATTTATAGCAAGCAGTCTGGATCCCTACCTTGACAAAAAAAATCAGCAAGAGCACTAAGCAGAGCTTGGGAACCAAGCGACAAAACATTTCTCTTGTCTGGAAACAACATCTATTTTCGCCATTTTGCTCTGGTAAAGCTGAACACGAACATTTTTTTGGCATGGGAACACTGAACTTCCTGCCAGTTAATTGCTCATGTGTTAACAGTGCTGCCACAGAGTCAAGACGCTCTTTAAAAGCAAAAAAAGACTCAAAAATGCTTTCCTTCTACTGAATTGCACTCTGTTTGGCAAACAATCTGGGTGTTCTCACCCATCACAAACTTCAGCCTGTACCTGTTATCCGTGGAGCAGCTTTGAACTGCAGAAACTTCTGTTCCCACTTGTCCTCCAGGTCTTGAGCCATGATGACCGTCTTGCCAGTGGCATCATCTTCATCATCGTACGGGCTTTCTTTCCTCCTCTTGAGCCGCTCCTCCTCCTCCAGCTTTCGGATTTCATGATCCGAATAGTGGCTTTTCTCCAGCTCTATCTAGGAGGACAACATAAAAAATTCTTGTAGCCACCAGCACTACAGCTGTTAGCAAGCAGAATTACTTCCCCCTCAGCGAACACAAGATAAAGGAAATTTCCCTGAGGTTGAGCAGGGCGGGGAAGGCTGCTTGCAGCAAGAGCACCTAACAGGGATACCCACAACACCGAGGGAGACTATGGGAACACCACTAGCACCTACAAACTGTATTGCAAATCGCATACAGCGCACTCGGGAAGCAATATCAGGCTGTATATGTAAGGCCACCGGCCCCTGATGCTCTGTCCCCTCATGCCTGAGGGCGCCATTTCCCCACCAACACCCCCCCTCTACCTGCCCCATGAGCGCCGCCATCTCCTCCTCCTCCTTCTCCAGAGGCTGCGTGATCCGGGGGAGCCTCAGCAAGCACATGGCGCCGAAAAGCCTCCAAGGTCGGCGCGCAGCAGGAGCAGCATCGCTGCAAACCCATCGAGCCGAACCTGCAGCCCGCTGCCCCAGGGTCGCCGCCATCACGCGCGCCCCACAATGCCCCGCCATGTTCCCTCCCCGCTCCCGTCGTGCTCCGCGGCCGCCGCTGCCGGGGCGCGGGTCGCGGGCGCCGCCATGAGCGCGGCTGTGGCGGCTGTGGGGCGGAGGGTGCTCGGGGCGGGCTGGGGGTGAGTGGGGCCGGCGGGACGGGCTGTGGGGAGCGCGGGCACACCGGGGAGGGGCCTCTGTGGGGCGGGGGGGGGGGAGAGTTGCCGCTGGGGGTTTGCCGCTGTCGCTACACGCGGTCCCCACACTCGCTCACCCGACGCTCTCTCCCCTCGCAGGGCCCGCACCGCCGCCGCCGCGCTGTGCCGCGGGCTCCGCACCAGCCCCCCGGGGCTGCGGGATAGCGCGGGGGCGGCTGCCAAGGAGACGGAGAAGCAGAGCGCGACCGAGCAGAGGTGAGAGCCGAGGCCAGGCCGCGCCGGGAGGGCGCTGCCATCTGCCGCTCGCTGCGAGGTTTTATCGCCTCCGGTGGGTTTGCAAGCCGAGGGAGGGGAGGGAGCGGCTTGGCTCAATCAGAAACGCAGCTTGTGTCTTCCGGAGACTTGGTCCCTTCTTTCTTTATTTCCCAATGTGAAGTAAAACTTTGTGATGTTTAAAGAGCGAGGCCTGGTAACTCTTTGTTTTACTCCTCAGCCCTTTAATCCTGCAGAGGAGCTCCATGAGATGGGATGGAAAGGTTTATGAAGAGATCCCGATAGCGCACATCAAAGCGACGTACAACAAGTAAGCAAATAAGCTCCTCCATTCCTGCTCTCATGCAGAATAAAAGTTCAGGACGTACCCGTGCTTTGGCCTGTCATCATTTTGATCTAAAGGGTCAAACAAAAAAAAAAAAAAAAAAAGTGGTGTTTGTGACGAGGAAGATGATACTGCTTCAAACCTCAGTGCTGTTCAGGAGGCATAACTGTCTTTAAAGCAATAAGATTGTTTTTATACATTTTGACTACACTCTAATATGAATAATCAGATGCTGACAGCTTTAACAGCAGATCACTTCCAGCCTTCTGCACTAGCGCTGTCGCTGTGCAACTCTTGAAAAAACTGCCATATTCTTTATGAGAGACGATTGTATTTCATCAGTGATCCTTGCTGTGATACTTTACTGTTGTTTCTAAAGGTCTTTAACGTTATAGAAATGTTTTGTGTGTTTTTTTAGTAAACAGAAAAGGTAAAATGTAGTGAGAGGTGGGTCTGAAAGGGCCGCGTGGGATCTGAGGTCTACCTGGATAAAGTACACACCTTATCTAGAAAGGTTTTGCCACCTCGCTCAGGGTCTGTAGGGTGACCAGAAGGTCACTGCTGGGAGGGCTCTGCAGCAGGTTGGAGTGAGTGGGATGCCTCGAAAGGGAATGCTGAGCTGGGGTGGCTTGGAGAAGGGAGGCAGGAGTCCTGCAGTGAGCCGTGACGGTAAGGTGAGCGAGAAGAAATGAGAATAAAGCCTTGTTCCACCTCGCTTCCTCCCTTTGCCCCTCTGTCTCTGCAGCACCCACGTGCAGGTGGTCAGCTTTGACAACCGGCCGTTCGCCCACACGTCCTGTGGCACAGAAGGCTTCCAGAATGCCAAGAAGGGAACAGCCATTGCGGCACAAACCGCTGCCATGGCAGCAGCTGTGGTGAGTCCACACCGATGATTCCCACCTCCCAGTACCTGGGCACACGCCTGGCTCACAGGCAGCATTCCAGAGCTGTTCCATGCTGTCAGCATCCCAAGCTTCATCCGCACACAGACAAAGTGTGTTTGAAACAGCTGTTAGAAATGCCCTGAGGGTGAGCTGAGCTTCTTCCCAAGTGAACATCTCTCAGTCATTTTGGGAATGTAGCCTCTGAATCAGCAGCAGTTCAATTTTTGCACCGCAGGGGGACTGAGAAGCGGCTGTAGTTACTGGCTGGATGTTTCATATTTGGTCTCTGCCACTGAACTGAGCTGCTGCCAGCAGTTCCACTCAGAGAAGGGGATGTCCTTGCACATGTAGTTTCCAGCTACATATGGTTTATTATAACTGTTTCTATAAACCATGTAGGTGTCTAGGTAGAGGAGATGAGGCTGGCTATGTCACAGTCCTCAGTACAGAAGAATGAGGCCAGGTTAAACTGAAAATCTTCATCCTACATTAGGTGGAATTCACTCTAGCCTTTCATGTCACACACAGGTGTTTGGTGCCACTGCTGGCCAACAGCTTATTGTGGTTGACTCAGGAATATAAGAACATCTTCACTTTTAATCTGTGCTCGTTGGAACCTCGTAGTAGCTGTGTAGCTGTGCTGGGACAGATTTATTCTATCACTGTTGAAATTGTTAGTAGGTTAATTGCACCAGAACACAGCAAGACAGAGAGCCAGAAGAGCTCCCTCCACATGGTGGCAGCAGGGCTGTGCTGTACAGCACTTCCTCATTTCCAATTTGCAAGCCCCTAGAATTTTTACACCGGAGGTGTGGACTCCTGCACAGCAAATCTAAAGCTTGCCTGCACTTCTCATTTACCCTCCAGAAGGAATCCACTAGTCACAGGGGAGAAGTCACCACATTAGGGAAGGGAAAACAGCTTTGAGTTAGTCCTTGTTAATCCCTTGCCACTTCAGTCGCATATCCATGGATATGTCCTTTTTTGCCTTGGCTTTAGGTCACAGATAGTTTGATCTTAAAGCTTTCTCTGTCTGCAGAGCTGACAGTAGCACAGAAATCCTCTTGAACTTGCCATGGCTACATCCAACCCTCCTTTGCTCCTGGATTCTGTGCAACAATCCCCATATATGTCTTCTGTATCCATTACTGACTAGTTTATTTTTTTACCTAAATACTATTATGGTAATGGGTCAGAAGGGAATGACAGACTCCAGGGGAGCCAGGCCAGCAGCAGTTCTCCCAAAGAGAACACTAATGAGTTGTTCTTTCCACAGAAAGCACGAGGGAAGGGTGTGTTGCACGTGCGAGTCGTGGTGAAAGGACTGGGACCGGGACGCAAAGTAGGTGCCAGAGTTTCTTTGTCATATTTTATTTTCTCAGGCATCGTGCATGTTTTCTAAATTCAGGCTGGTCTCAGTTAACATCACTGAAGGTGTTGTAAAGGATTCATCGTTCAGGTTCCTTGTAATGAATTATTAGAATTTTAGAGTTGTAGGACTTAGAGGTAGAATAAAAGCTGTATTTGGGACTTCTTCCAGTTAATGTAGGAAAGTTGATGGGAACACTGCAAAAAGAACTGGAGCAGATGGGTTTAAAGTGGGTTTTCTGATACAAGTCTCTTATTTTGAAAATAATTACAAAGTGAGAACCATTGGAACAAGTTGATTTTTGGATGGGGGATCAAACTGTTTTGCTCAGAACTTTTTCCCTTCTGTGCTGTTCAGTGTGTTGATAAGTGTGTGTCATCTGCTGTCTTGTTGCAGGCTGCCATCAAGGGCTTGACAATGGGAGGTTTGGAGGTGATCTCCATCACCGACAACACCCCGGTTCCCCACAACGGCTGCCGCCCTCGGAAAGCCAGGAGAATGTGAGGGGGCCCTGCAAGAGACACACAGCTTTCAACATCAGCCCATGCAACTGGAACTGGGTTGAATGTTGATCCCGTGATAGACTCTGGAAAGCGTCCCTCCGTGGAAACATTTGCCGAGGGAAGCTTGAAGAGGAGAGACCATCCTGGGCCTTAGAAGCCCAGGTGACAGAAGCTGGTGGTGAAAGCGGGAATACATGTGCTCCCTAAGTGGGAAGCCTCTTGTGTACAAAGTTTGTTGATTAAAATGTTGGTCTTTTGACAGCCATTCCTGCTGTGTTCCCAGGAGTATTTTGAATTATTATTGCCTCTTAACTGCTCTCTTCCTCTTACCACTGTATGTGGCTCTTGCCTAGCCCTCTGTGCCATTAGTGCCCTTGTTAGAAGAGGAGCCTGAGGTCTCGATTTCCTTGCAGTAAACAAATGCATGGGGTCATATCATCTTCCTTTCCTCTTTCTCTCGGTGCACATATTGGGAAACAAGGCATGGGGTGACTTTTTCCTTCCCCCTGGTTCACAGAGCTCATTGTGTCATGTGAGAGGCAGCTCTCCCTGTTCACGGAGCACTGGATCCACTGCTGGCAAAGTGGGTTTGCAGTGATGTTTTGCACTGTTGCAGTGCTTTGTTTTGCCCAGGCTGTACTGGCCTGCCACTGCTCTTGGCAAAGCAAAGCACCATTCCCTCTAAAGGGGCCGGGATCTTGCCAGGTTTAGTGCTTACGGGCTCTTTGGCCCTGCCTTGTGCACCACCAACTGGATTTTCCGGGGTCCTGGCAAAAGTGAGCAGGGGTTAGTAGGCCTGAGGAACAATTAAATGCTGCCAAGGAGATTTAAAACACTTAAGTCTTGAACTGTACCTCTGGGTAACCACAAGCAGCGGGAGCTTGTCGTGCATCTGTGATGTATTACTGCTGTCCCAGATCCACCCAGAATTTCTGCCAAGGAAATACGTCTGGAGCATTAACCAGGGAAGGTAACAGCAGTAACCCATTACAGGATTGATTCCCTGGATGGCAGTGGCCCACTGCCTAGGAAAGGGCACCTCACTGAAAACCCTGCTGCCAGAGGAGCCCTGGGCCCATACAGCATGCACTGGGCAAGTATTTCACCAGTAAACACGGTGTATTTTGGAGCAGCCAGCAGTTTATTGCAAAACCAGAATCTTCCTTTCTATTATTTCTCTTTCTGTCATTCCTCTGTAGCTTCTTAAATTGCATAATTAACCATTTTTCTTCCTCTTTAGAGAAAGGGTGCCATGGCAACAAGGCAGTGAACCTCCTTCATGGGGCTGAATGGCATACAGCAGGTTTTGAAAGAAATCACTCTGCTTAGAAGAGCCTGTTGAGTTGCATTTGACAGAAGAGAAGAAAACAAGATTCAGGTGAATCCCCTACCTTAGTCCAACTGTCTGAATTTGAATGGAGGGTTTGTGATCTTAAAGGGAAGTTCCTTGAGCTGTCACAGATTTGACAGCGAGGAAGAGAGGCTCTTCCATAGATGTTTGACACACTA